CGTATGTATGTATATGTATATATAGTACTGTTACTATTGTTATTGATATGGCCTAGGTGACGGTAAGGTACCGGTAGCAGAATCCAGAAAGCCTGATGAACATGAACCACCCTTGTCACAAATCTCCATTTCCTTAATTGCTGTTTGTGGCGTTCTAGCCGTCTTTGTCATTGTTGCTCTCGTACTCAGCGTGAAAAACAAACGACAGGATGTGAAACCATGGTGAGTTCCCAGACTGGTTTAGAGTACTGTAGTGTCGTGTTAGCATATCGTCGTTGTTTAATTTGTATTTTTACTGATAATTGGAGTTTGAGTTTTTATGTGTTTTTTGCTTCTTTTTTCCCCTTTTTTTGGCGTAAGTTTAAACGTTTTCCTTCGGGAAGGGTAATATCTAATGCTCATTACCTGATGCATGTTACAATTTAATTCATATTGTAATAGGATTGTTCCAATCCAAGATAATGAAAGAAGTGAATCTCGAAGCAGGCGAATGCTGCCAGCAGCACCGAAAATCGAAGGTATGCACTTAATTATAATAATTATGTTGTCAAGTACATGGTAATGCTCTGGAATAAGAGAAGGATCGAATATAAAACCTTTGAACCGGTGATATTTTTTGTCATCTGTTTCAGATAATGCGTATTTATTTCATACTCGGTCCAACACAGGTGGTAATGATGCTGTAGGTAAGGGTAGCATCCCAGCCCATAGACAGCCGGAAAACGAAGACGTCACCTATAGCGTTGTCAACGATGACCTGAAAGCTGCTTGCAGACTTCTTCCATTCGTATCGGAGACTCCGCAAGAGCCACCTTGCCCGACCGACGTCTATGATTCAATCCAGGGGGTCAGTTTATCGCCAGAAGGTTCTATGAGGTCTCGAATTGGAAGCACCCCGTCTTATCGATTAGCCGGAGGGTTTCAGCGACAGAACAGCACTGCGTCAACATACGAAGGCAGCATAAGGCCGTTTTCGCGGTCAACCAGCGTTGTCTCGAGGACAGAGAGCTTCTACGAAGACATGAACAAGACTTCGCGCTCTTCGTCAATGTGTCGGCCCAATGACAGAAACATCGTGCCTTACACCTAGTTGTAGTAGATTTTGACCATTGTCATCTAGAATTTTATTTCCTGATATACAGTTTAAGCACATACTTAAAATGTATCAGGTATAGAAGAAATATTCTACGCACTACATGTACAAAGCGCGCAAACCAACTGTGCAAATAGCAACGGAAAACTACGCAGAAATGATACTCCCACAAAATCTTCTAATTTATATCAATTCTGTGCGCTTACCCACTTTTAATGACTGCAGTTTATTTATTTACATATACGTAAAAAGATAATGAAAATATCGGCAGCACAAACAATACGACAAACCAAAGTGTACACGGTATGCACAATTTTTGACGTAAGCTTATCGTTTTATCCTCCCTTTAACGGTGACGTAAATATGTTCCACAGTATCTTTTTTAATGGCGAAACGCCACAAAGTGGTCAATGTTATTTAGCTGGATGCGCACGGTAATTATTACTTACACAATTACTCTTTAATGCACAC